CGCTCGGCGGCGGGACCTGAGGCACGCTCGGCGGCGGGACCTGAGGCACGCTCGGCGGCGGGACCTGAGGCCCAGTGTAGAGGCACGTTCGGCGGCGGGAGCTGAGGCCCAGTGTGGCGGACCGCTCGGCGGCGGGAACTGAGGACCAGTGTGGAGGCACGCTCGGCGGCGGGAGCTGAGGCCCGCTCGGCGGCGGGACCTGAGGCCCGCTCGGCGGCGGGACCCGAGGACCAGTGTGGCGGCACGCTCGGCGGCGGGACCCGAGGACCAGTGTGGCGGCACGCTCGGCGGCGGGACCCGAGGCCCAGTGTGGAGGCACGCTCGGCAGCGAGACCTCTGGAACGCTCAGCGGCGGGACTTGACGCACGCTCGTTGGCTGGACCTGAGGCCCAGTGTGGAGGCACGCTCGGCGGCGGGAGCTGAGGCCCAGTGTGGTGGGACGCTCGGCGGCGGGAGCTGAGGACCAGTGTGGTGGGACGCTCGGCGGCGGGACCAGTGTGGAGCGAGCTGTGGAGCGGCGAAGTCTGATGTCGACGGGGTCCACGTCTCTTCCGCCGTGCCACGTACTGAAGACGACGCGTGTGGCACAGGAGGCTGGGAGCGGCGGCGAGATCCGATGTCACCGGGAGCCACGTATCTTCTCTGAGGCGGCGGACTGTAAGCACTGCGCCTGGCAAAAAACGCTCCAACTGGAAATAGCTGAGGTCCTCCAATCTAGTTGTGGATTATGTTGCTGTGACCAGGGAGAGCCCAACACAACAGGGGCCAAGGGCGAGGAGACGACGTAGAGCTGGATGCTCTCCCGATGGTTCCCGGAGGTGATCAGTGGCAGGGGAGTAGTGCGGTGAGTGGCCCTGGCAAATAATCTGCCATTCAAAGCACAAATTATCCGCGGGGTCTCTAGTAGTTCCAGCGGGGCATTTTACTGACTAGCCAATAAAACTGTCCGAAGCCCCAGAATCAACCAAAACATGCACTGAAGGAGCTCGAGATTCTATGTGCAGGTTCGCAGGCACAGTAACTCTGGGAGGAAGAGAGGGGGCAGTAACGGGAGGAGTACTCACGGAGAAATCCGGGGAGGATCCGGCACTGGCAGACGCCATTTGGTCCAGCCGAGAGGTAAATCCTTGGACCTGGGAGGAGAGGGTCTGGAGGTAGACACTTATCCCGTGTAACAGCTGGTCGTGATTTCCAAGCAGTTCTTCTTGGACGTTAAGAGCCTCCTCAACGGTGCCGGGGTTCGTTGGGTCCATGATTTTNAAAACGTTAACCGGTCGGTGAGCTCATACTGTATCTCCACTAGTCTCTCTGCCAGCTCCTGATGTCCAGCTTGTCTGTAAGATCAAGAATAAAAGGTCAAGTTTCGCAAATATGTCACTGTACTATAATACCTTTAAAATTCTATAAAGATCTCAAAAATCAAGAAACTTCCCATTTAGCGTACAAAGCTGTTTAATTAACTCTGTTTTAAGCGATTTATGTAAAAGTGAAGTTCAAAGTGTGTTTGCAAGAAGGTCGCCGGTTTGCATCCCGGTGAGGACACCCGGGATCTTTCTGCATGGAGTTTGCATGTTCTCCCAGTGCAGCGTGGGTTCTACCTGGGTTCCCCGGCTTCCTCCCACACAGTCCAAAAACATGTTGAGGTCAATTGGTGATTCTAAATTGTCCGCAGGTGTGAATGTGAGTGTGCTTGGTTGTCTGTCTCTAAGTGTAGCCCTGTGATAGACTGGTGACCCTAGTGAGGATTAAGTGGTGTATAGATAATGGATGGATGGATACAATATAAATACATAACAAATTATTATCTAGGCTGACTTTAACATTAGGTTTTGTTATGATTCATAACATTACAAGACAACATCATCGTGTAATGATGATATCCACAGTATATCACATATTAGATTTGCAAATTCTGTATAATAATATATAACATGACTAATTACTGTGAGCTGCAATACATTTCATTTGTTGATACTTGGCCTCTTGACCCTAACTTTAACTTCTCTAAACTAGCTGAGCTCAGTCGGCTAGCACATTGCCCAACTGAATTTTCCTTCCTCTCCTTCTTCGGTAATTGCTTCATTGAGTTAGTCAGACTCTGACATAATGCCACTGTGTTCATTGTCGTGCAAAGCATGTTGAATATTTGAGCCATTTCAGCTGGTGACAATGGTTTTTTTTCCCAGTTTCTAACTAAGCTGTGACGACTGTTACTGGTTACGATTTGTCACTTCCCCTTTAAGACACAAAGACCCACCTTTCCCCATTAAAACATTAGTATAGAAATAGAATACACATTAGCAGGCATGTATCAGTTTTTTCCTGAGTTCAGATATAAATCTTCATAAGTTATGCATCACTTCCTGTAGCACAGCCGCCCATGAGCGGAGCTGCATCTGCTGAGGTGTTGCTTGCAGCTGCATTGAAGGCTACACATTGTGACCACGACAATAGTTAAAACTGTTGGCAGTTTGCCATGTTTTAAAGAAAGCACATATGTCAGAGCAAAGGTGGCCTGTGAACTTAATTAACTAAGACATACAATACATGTCTGTGCTTGAAAACAGGATGTTCCTTATTGTTGCCTCGCTAAAATTATAAATTGGTACAAAAGTCCCCCTGAAACAAAGAAAAACTTGGTAAAACAAATAAAATCAGAAGCAAGTGTCACATGAAAAACCCAGGGCCCATGTTACCTTGCATAATCAATGGGGGTCTTTCCACTGGAGTCCAGAGCTCCAGGATCAGCTCCATAAACTGCCAACAGCTCTGCTTGTAACATCTGACCTGCTTTTGCTGCTATGTGTAGTGGGGTGTTTCCTTTCTCCTGTTGTCCAAAAAAAAAAAAAGCAATAATTATTCATTCGTATGAAATTAAACTCAACATTTTTTTTTCCTCATCCCACTCGACTTACTGGATGGAAGAAGTTGGCCTGTGCTCCTAAAGATAAGAGTCTCAGGCAGGTCTCCAGGTTCCCCGTCCGAACACTGGAGTGGAGTTGCTGAAAGAAAATCGACAAGCAGCTCGTTTCAAACTGACGGTGAAGCGCATAAACACAGTGTTGTCTTCAATAGATAAACTAAACAGTGACATTATGCTTTATCCTGCTGGAAATTATTGCAATAGAGGGACACACGGGCAATTAATGTTTGTGCCGCTTTCTTAATAATGCAAACAGAATGTGATTTACTTAATTTTCAAATACCTATGATAAGCAATCACTACAGAATCGAGGATTAGTATGAAATAGATGTAGCTGTTGCTGGAGATGAGATCAAAAAGCCTATGTTATACTGAGTCAGGCATGACCAATATGAGAAAATGCCAGTGGGAATGTGTCACAGCACCAATGAATACATCTATAAAAAGGCAGCACCATTTCTGAAATTTCCAGAAACCATGGTCAAACCAGTGACAGCAACTTGTGGCTTTGATAGCAGCGATGGGCTGTGCTTATATCTACACAGGCTGGTAAATTAAGAGTGTATAAAATGAAAACAAAAACCATTAACAGAGCATTTTTTTTCACCTTGCTGAGGTCTTTTGCCGTTACACTGTCGTCCTCCCGACAAGGCATCCGATGAACGTATGCCAGCATCTGATATTTTGCCTTGATGAACTCTGTCTTGTTGGGGCTGAAGAACGAAAGAAAGAAAAGATGCTCACGTCTGAACCAGGTCTGTGATTTATACGTGCTACCGTGTCACAAAAATTTCACAGTATGTGATTGTGGTCAGTGCAATTATACCACCAAACAACAACATAAGATTCTATAAGGGTTGCTGATTAATTCACATCCATACTCGTCACAATGCAAACTTTATCTCTGTTGATGCCTATCCAGGTTAAGGCAGAACAATTTGGGGGAAAATATCTAATTTGCAATTTTTCCCCACAGATGCCACAACTGCAATTTGATTTGCGATAGAATTCTTTACAGTCAGGCTTCACTTCACTGTTCATTGTGAGATAGATTTCGAACACGATGGAGCGTTACCACATGAGATACCGTCAAAAACGTGACCATCATACAAAGAAGACAGAACAAATTTGTGTCACCATTGATAAGACACTTTAGATCCTCGATCTGATATGCCGCTGAGCTTAGATTCTAAGCTGCAGCTGTTGCAATTTGCTAATTGCATGGTTTAAAAAAGGCAATTTTGATTTGAAATCGATTAACTGTTCAGAACAGTTTACAAAACTAGTTGGGAAGTTTGAAACAAAGCCAAACCTTTACTTACCAACAAAAAAAATCCAGCTAATATTAGACTAGTTCCTTGTTTTGTGAGTGAAGCGGCAAACAGCTGCAGGGTTTGTGTTTGACCAACTCAGCTCGGCAAACTGCCCCAACAGTTCCTCAAACCATGAGAAAGCACAGTTTTGCCCTCGTCTGTCCGGAACTATCCTCCTCCAACTGAAATGTATGCTTAGCTCCTGAGTTCCTTAAAAGGTTTTTTGGTTTTCTGGGAAAGTGGCAGAAAAGCCTCATAACTTAGCATCCATCTCAGAACTTGTGTTTGGGAACCAAGATGGCTGCATCGGTCGCGTTGTCTGGTGACTGAATGCATTCGGTTTGAGAGTGAGGGTCAAATTCAGCCCGACTGTGTTTATGCGTGAGTTACTGTTTATCTTTACTCCACCAGCCAGACACCAGAATGACACAGTGTTTATGCCTTCAAATGGATGTGGGTGACTACATCACATCTCTCTGCCCTGGAGATTTGTTTTTTGTTTCACTTTGTCTTCTGAGGCATACTGCTTATTAAAAAAAAGCATTTGCAAATAAGGGAAACACTTCAGGAGCCCTTTACAGTTCAGCTGGTTGAATAACAAATCAGCTGATTAACAGAACCGTCATATTAATTACACGCAGCTGATGAGGATGTTGGTAATTGCGTTTAACCGAATGTTCTATTTTCTGCATATTTTCCCTTCTGCCTGTCTAATCAAGTACGTTCTCCAGGATAGTTAAGGCCAATTATGCATGTTTACTGACCTCAGCTATAAAAATCAATTTGAGCTTTATACAACAGTCCAAGCAAACCCACCAAAATCATCACCGACATATCAAAATCCTTAGAAGCACTTACTGAACTCTATCCTGGGGGTTGGCTTTACGCTTCCCACTCACTGAAGAGGAAGGATCCAGAAGGCTATGCTCCCATATTGAATTAGCTCCATTACCATACAGTGTCTGGACCATCTAAAACAGGAAAACACATTAACAATTTAACAAGTATAATGTAAAAAAAACATCCATTTGCACTATGGCAATCCTAGCCACTTGCTCATTGTGTAACTCCCATGCTAAATAATAAACGACGGGTAATTATTGATTTTAGATATTTGCATGTGGATGTTTGGTTTGTGGGGGGTTGTGTGTGTGTGTCCCCCGTTTTCCCCCCACCTGCAGCTGAGAGGGTGGCCACGAAGAGTGAGTCAGATGTCGGACTTGGGAGCTGTGTCGCCCCAGACCTCGATGGATGCTGCAGCACTCATCGCAGATCAACACACCCCTGTTAACAGAGGCCCAGCGAGGCTCTGCAACACAGATGCAATGTTTGTTAACCCACCAGTCTAAATATTAAATGAACAACAACGACCCACACAGCCTTTTGAACTCAAGTGTTTATCGACTCCGGACGAATGAAGATGTTGGTTAGCTGACAGCAACACATAACTGCTCCAGGTTAGGTGCTTTCCCATGTCTTCGGCACATCCAGAAACACAATCACAAACAGCAGTTTAGCGACAATAATCGTCTTGGTGAGCTAGCTAATTTGTCAAATGAAGCTAGCCCGATGTTAACAGAAGAAAAACGTCACTAATATTTAATACATATCAAGCGACACTTTCAGAATGAAACAAGTTAATGTGATAACACAAACACGACTTCTTTCTTTCACAAATATCCCCACAATGAGAAAATTCACAACTATTACAAAGGAGTCACGTCGCTAATTGCTAATTATTTCTGCGTTTGGTAACGTTAACTCGGCTAGCTAACCGGACGCAGCGATAAGTTGAAGTCGGGGCTAGCTGGTTAGCTCGGCGGCTAACGTTACAGCTAGCTTGTTTGGCATCGTACCCGGAGCACTGCAATCAGCGCAGACCTCTCTGCTTCGCACTCGCTTTGACATCCCTGAAGAGAAATCCTCAGAGTCCAGGAAGAGCAAATATTTGCGAGATACGTCGCAGCACAGCCACACAAAGATAAGACAGGATAGTCCGCCCCAGCGGTTTGTATTTAACACTTCTCGCAGGCAAACCAACTGTGACCGTCTGCCCTCCCCTCCTACTGTTGAACAAAGCGGTGTCCCATTCCAACACTCGCTCAGCCTCCTCTGCGCCTCCTTGTCTCCTTCCGTCCTTGCTTCCTTCGGTGTTATCTATGTCACTACACACACCCCAGATCAGCCCTACTAAGGACCTATGTGATGGGTGCAACATGTATGTGGATGAAGCACATGTGAGGTAGCTTGTTGCCTTGCAGCTCATACAATGGGCATTAAAATGTTAAATTAAAGGTCCCATGTTGTGCACTTTTATCAGCAAATTAATAAAAGCTTCACTTGTCCCCACCATGTGTCTTTTAAATTTTCAGCTCAGAATTTCCCCACAACTGTATGACTCCTGGTTTTATCTGTGTTCTAAATGGAGTAGCATAATAGTGATAACTTTATTTATGTGGCACCTTTAAGAACAGCGTTCACAAGGTGTTTAGACAGTAAAACATGCAATACAAAAACAATCAAGGAAGTCTTAGGACTTAGAGAATTAAGAAGAATTAAAACAAATTAAAAACATCAAGCCAAAGAACTAGGCAGCTAAAAAAAAATAAAGAAATAAAAACAACAGAGAACATGTAAAATAAACAGATGGATGGTGCATAAAAACAAAATGAAACACTTAAACTAATTAAAACTAAAAGTAAACTTCCCATAAAAGCAAGTTGAAAAAAGTGGATTTCAGGGGGTCAACAGATCAGAAATGTAATTTGGAGCAAGACCCTGGTGTGCTTTAAAAGCGATCAGTAAAATATTAAAATCAATTCTAAAATGAACAGGGAGCTAGTGTAGGGAAGCCAAGATAGGTGTGATGTGATGCCGTTTGTTACAACTGGTAAGAAGCCGAGCTGCTGCATTCTGGACAAGTTGGAGGCCAGAGAGGGACTTATCAGGAATGTCAGAAAGCCATTCTCTATGCTAGTTATCTTTGCATCTTGTCATGATCACATAACACTTGTTTAATCAGCTGCTATCTCTCCAATGCTCTTTTTAGTGTCAATGCTCTCAGATCAATACAGCCCACCTCCAGCGATATCATCATCAGCAGCAGCCTCCTCACCATCCCCCTCAACAGAAGCTGCTCAGTGTACCCCATCAGGTCAAACACAGACTGCCCCCTAACTAAGATATGAGGTGTGGACAATGATATGGTATGTTGTGATTCCATGTTTCATTCTTTATCAGTATGTGTTGCTACAGTTCAACCAGTTATATTGTAAGGTATGTTTCTATAAGGTCTCTGCACGACCCTGAAGCAAGGACTGCATTTCTGGCTAAGCTGGATGACAATTGTCGTGCAAACACTGCATGTGAATCTATTTTTATTTAACAAAAAAACTATTCCCAGCAACCTTCAAGTTAATGAATTGTTTTTTATGTGATGATCCTAGTTTTGCGCATTTATTGGGAAACATTGTTTAGTGTATGTTCTGGTTGTTTTGGTGGCTGCCAGTGTTTTTCAGGCTGGTTTTTGGACAGAAGAGGTCTCACTCACTCTCTCCTACACCTGAGGTTCATCATTAATCAGCGCTGGATAAAGCCTGCCTCCACCTGTGCTCCAGCGCCAGTGGATTATCCTCCCACGAGTGGTAACCGGCCAGCTTGCCTGCTTAGAAGAATTTTGTTTAGAGAAACTCTTTGTCTGCGTGTTGGTACCAGAACCTCCCAGATGGACTGATGTATTCTCCTGCCTCAGCCGTTCAGCCACCCTGTCCCTTTGGAACCTCCCCTGGACCTCCCTCCTTCACTCAGCTTAAAGTGCATTTCCTCCTCCCCATACTCAGTTAGGATCTTGATTACTGGATATTGTATTTAAATCATTTCTAGACAGTTACTCAGCTCAGTGATACGGTTGCCATGGTATGGTTTTACCTACCTACCCAGCAGTCATACAGAAAGATGACTCAGACTTTGTTTTTTCCTTCAGTCTATCTTTGGAGCC